GAGTGTCAAATGAAAGATCCAGTTGCAATCAGACTGGGAATGCCCACTGGCTTTGATGATGTGAGGGTCATACTTTTGAAAGCAGTTCAAGTTGAGTAGTGGGATCAGAAGTCAGGTGGTAGTGGTGGATTTGGAAGCGAGGAAGTAAAAACTCCTAGGTGCTATTCCAGGATGGTTAGACTCAGAAGGAGAGGTCACCCCTTCATAGGCAACTCTTGATATATGTATAGGCTGAGGGCAATGAGCTAATGGAAAACAAGAGAGTGAATTTATGGATGAAAGGGGATTATGGGTGGAGCAAGGTCCCAATGGTGAAAGAAGATAATGAATGAAAAGCTGAGACAAGGTGGGAGTGGGGTAGGGCCCTGTGTGTGTGTGTGTGTGTGTGTGTGTGTGTCAGAATGGGGTGGGAGTAGGGTGGGGCTGGGTGTGTGCGTGTGTGTGTGTGTGTGTGAATGGGGCAGGAGGTACCTTGAATAGAAGAAATGCCTTCTTCCTAATACCCTGAAGAGATTGAAAAGATATTTATAAATGAGATAGGGGTTAATTGGTTGTTGATGCAAGGATCAGGGGACAGAGAGGACTCAGAAGTTGATACCAGTGGCCTCAGTTTTCCTGATGAAGCCAGCAAGACCATATGTTAAAGGAGGGCTGGCCTTGAGGAGTAGAGTGAATGTCTGGCAAAGACACCAGGCAGAAGGGATGAGAAGTCAGCCGAGGAGATGGGGATCTACCCTCAACTTGGCCTCGGTGGTGAAGAGAGAGAAGACAGGAGCGTCCACCGTATGGGGTGGCAGTGGAAAGAGTAATGAACTCGGTGTTCTGTGAAATGGTGGGACGTCATCGGGAAAGTCACGATGCATTGTTCTATGCAAAAACTCACCTAATATTAATGGTGCCAATGAGAACAGGGGAGCGGTGGAAAGAGATAAGGTCGTTCACAGAGAGCACCATGGGGGAAGGGTTCTTAAATATTTTTCGATTACTCAGTTCTAAACGAAAAACTCATCATTGGACTTTTTAAAGAATCATTTGTTTATTTATTATTATTTTAATTTGCTGTAGGGCTCATGTGCTCACCAGAGAGAGCCAGAGAGAGAGAGGAAGAGAAAGTGAGACAGCAAGCCACCAAGTCTAGAATTCAAACCCGGGTCAGCCATGTGGGAGTCCAACACCCCAACCACCCCACCACCTGCTGGCCCCCATATTTGGACATTTTAAGAAATGGTTTTGCAGAGATAATTCATTTCGTTTCCCTAACAGCCCTGTGAGGCATACCTTATTGCTTCTCTATTCTGCAGAGAGACAAATTGCAATAGTGGCAAACACACCTTCTCCCTCATTATACCGAGAGCTCCCTGAGGACAGGAACTGCCTTGAGGCTCTCTGCATCTCCATGGGAAGTGTCCAGCACAGTGCTTGGTGCAAACACGGGTTAGTCATCTGCAAACACGGGCAAGGACCTTGACCCTTTGGCATGTCTCTCCATGGAAACCAGCCAAGATGGCCAGTTATCCATCACACAAGGAGTTGAGTACAGCCTCGCTGGTCTCTGGCTGAAATCATGGGATCTGGTAGGAAGGCTGAGAGGCAGACAATTACCTAAGCTTTCCTTCCTCCCCCCGAGACTTGTCTTTCCTTTATGTTCAAAGGTCTGGTCTCTCTCTCTCTCTCTCTCTTTTAATGCCAGAGGACATGTGCACATGGATGAGAGAGAAAGAGAGAACGCTCCCTGTAAGGGGCATGGTCATACTTCAATCCTTTGTCCTCCAGTTCTCCCTCCCTTCAGGATTCTGGGCACACATACACACACCTGCTGCATTTTCAGTCCTCTGCTCCATACTTAATCTCTGCACCACCGAGCCAGCCCTGAAGTTCTGGTATTTGACTATATCGAGAAATCAACTACTCCCCCACCTCTTCTGTTACTATTACACTGTTCTAAGCTCGCCTTCTCCTTGGTCTCCCATGGCCCCTGTCCAGGGTACAACCTATTCACGCTACCAGAGCAACCAGTCACAGTGTTAGTCAGACCGTGTCCTTTCTCGGCTCAGTAACCTGCATTGGTTCCCTTCTCATCCCTGGTGAAAGCCAGAATCCTTCCATATTCTTTTAGTGCTCTGAATTAGCTGCCCTGCCAGCTCTGACGCCCCTGTCTGATCAGTTACGATGGTGTCTTCTTTCTTTTTTTTTTTTTTAAGGAGAGATTGTTTGCTATAGGGCATGTGCGCTCACTGGAGAGACAGAAAGAGAGAGAGAGAGAGAGAGACACTCCTCCCCTCCCCCGAGGGATAGCACTACACCACATTTCCTTCTCCTCCATTCTCTTGGGATTTTGGGCACACACACACATGCACCTAGTGTGAATTTAAGTTTCCAGTTCTAAGACTCGAACCATGGTCGACTACATGGGAGGTATGCCATCTGCTGGTCCCGGTGTCCGCTTTCTTAAGGCACCAGGGCCAGGCACACTTTGAGAGCTTGCCTGGAACTCTGCTGCTTTGGATTCATGACTGCTCCCTCCTTTCCTCCCTAGGATGCTTTTGTTACGTTTTTGTTGTTGTTATTGTTTTTGTTTTGTTTTGTTGCTACAGGGTGATCGTGCTTGCCCGAGAGAGACAGAGAAGGAAAGTGAGAAATCCGCCCCCCATGCCCTCGTGGGAATGTCCACATTGCGATTCCTCCCTTCTCCATTCAGCTCTATTCTCTTCGTGGGATTTTGGCCATGCACACACACACCCCCAGTGTGATTTTCAATTCGCCACATCTGGTACTTGAACCACAGTCAGCCATGTGGGAGTTTCGGGCCTTAACCACCACGCCACCTGCTGGCCCCTTTCCTCTCCGCGAGGCATCCCCGACTACCCTACCAGATGTTACAGCTTCCTGCTCCTGACTCTGATATTTCCTGTCCATTTCTCTGTCTTCTTTTTTATCCAGCCCTTGACGCCGATTAGAATTCAGCATGTTGTACTTCCTTACCCTGTATGCTTTCTGCCTGTCCCCACCCGGCAGTGACTTACATGTTTTGCTCAGTTCTGCGCCCTTCATAGTTACCCAGGACAGAGTCTGGCACAGAGGACGCACTCTGTGAATATTTGCTGAGTGAATGGACTCTGGTTCAGGGCGGACCTCTTATCTCCTAGTTTAAAGTGGATATTTTCAAATTGTTTTGCAAGCATTCATTTTGTTTTTTGAAAGTAGAAACCTGGGGACCAGCAGATGGTGACATTACTGGACTCCCACATGGCCAACCATGGTTCAAGTCCTGGACCTGGAGGTTTGAAATTCACACTGGGCATGTGTGTGTGCGTGCCCAAAATCCCAAGAGGAGCATGGAGGAGAAGGGGTTGTGGCATGGCCATTTCCCTTGGGGGGTGATTTCTCACTTTCTGTTCTCTGTCTCTCCGACAAGCACATGAGCCCTATAGCAAAAAAAATCTCTCTTAAAGGAGTAGTGGAGGCCTGGTTTACACTTCATGCCTGCTGATTAATGCAGTGATGGGCCTCATAGCACAACTGCATTCGACCTCAGTCCCATCCACTCACTTTATGCCTGGACCCCTTGTCCTTCCCAGACTCCTATTTCTTTTCTTTTTCTGTTTTTTATTTTTTTCTTTTCTTTTCTTTCTTTTTTTTTTCTTTTTTCTTTTTTTTTTTTTTTTAGAGTTTTTTTCCTATAGGACATGTGTGCTCACCAGAAAGACAGAGAGACAGAAAGCGAAAAATCACACATACCTCGGGAGGAATGCCACGCTGCAATCCCTTCTCCTCCAGTCTCAGGATCTTGGGCATGCACGCACATGCAACCAGTGTGAGTTTAAACCCCCAGGTCCGGGACTCGAACCGCAGTCAACTACATGGGAGTCCAGTGACATAGCCATTATGCCAACTGCTGGTCCCCCCAGACTCCTATTTCTATTCCCTCTGCTCTTTCTGTTGCTTGTCATGGGAAAACCTCATTGCCTTGGAGAAATTCTTCTTTCCTACTGCTTCTGCTGATTTCATCTTTGTTTTTTCATCAGAGACGAGGAGGTGGGAAAGGAGTGGGACATGTATTCAGACCAGCACACACTATCTAATGAAAGAAATGCCTGACATTCTCAACGGCAAATAAATCCGGAAGCCCTGGGACTGGAGAAGACCTAGGAAGTCAGCTCATCCGTCTTCACACCTCCAGGCAGTTCTGTAAGGAAAACCATCCCTGAAAGCAACCATCTGGCTTTTTCTCTGACTCTTCTCTAAGGAAGCACCTTCCCAGACTCCTTTGATAAGCCATTTTGGTGCCCTAGTGGAAAATAATAAAGTTATTGCTACAGCAGTGCAGTTAGGGTTATGGAATTGGAGCCCAGACGCACGACTCTGGAGTCACTGGTGAGAGGCCCGCCTCCGAGACCAAACTAACATGGGTTTGAATTTTGAACTGAGCACTTGCTAACTGGGTAACCTTGCACAGATTAGCCTCTACAAAAGAGATAGAACTTGGGAACCAGCAGTTAGTGTAATGGCTATGTCGCTGGACTCCCACGTAGTCAACCGCGGTTCACGTCCCTGACCTGGTGGCTTAAAACTCACGCCAGGCGCGTGTGCGTGCGTGGCCAAGATCCCGAGAGGAGAATGGAGGAGAAGGGATTGTGGCGTGACCATCCCCCCTGGGGGGTGATTTCTTGCTTTCTGTCTCTCTGTCTCTGTCTGTCTGTCTGGTGAGCGCACACACCCTATAGCGAAAACCTCTTCAAAAAAAAAAAGAAAAAAAGAAAAAAAAAAGAGATAGAACTTAGGGTTTCTTAGCATCTTTTCTTTTATCTACCTCTCTATATACATAAACATGCACGTGCACGCCCATGGATGAGGGCACTTCAAAAATATTTCCATTCGTAGAAAAATGCAGTTAAAGTATGAGTTTATTGGGTCAGCAGCAGGTGACTTGGTGGTTAAGGCGCTGGACTCCCACATAGACAACCATGGTTTGAGTCCTGAATCTGGCAGCTTGCTTTGTCACTTTCTCCCTCTCTCTCTCTCTCTTTCCATCTCTGTCGGGTGATCACATGTGACCTATAGAAAATTTTTAAATAATAATAAATAAAATTAAAGAAATAATTAAAAAAGAAGTACAAGTTTATTTTGGTGCAACACATTTTTGAAATCCATGAATATAGCTTTTTTTTTTAAAAAAAAAAAGAATTATTTTATTGACTTTATTTATTTATTTATTTAAATTTGACAAAGAGAGAGAGAAAGTGAGAAGTAAGCCACCAAGTCTGGAACTCGAACCGTGGTTGGCCTTGTGGGAGTCCAGTGCCCTTAACCACCATGCCACCTGCTGGTCCTAAAATCCATGAATAGTTTTTAAAAATGACCTATTTATTATTATTATTTTTAAAAGTTTGCTATAGGGCATGTGTGTGCACCAGAAAGAGACAGAGACAGAGAGAGAAAGGAAGAAAGCAAGCCACCAGGTTTGGAACTCGAACCACAGTCAGCCATATGGGAGTCCAGTGCCTTCACAACCATGCCCCCTACTGGCCCTGAATAGTTTTTAAATAATACACATTGTTATGAACTCTCGAAGCCCCCTTGTATATGTATATAATACTTCTATGTAATCTCTATAAGTGTGTACTCAATAAACATTTCTCCTCTCTTCCTTCTTCTAGCATCCCCCCTGCCCACCCTGATGCACTTCATGTTAATACACCACCGATGTCTACATTCTATAGTATTCCAGGCCTTTGACGCTTTCATCTTGCGGATACCCCAGACTTTTGCAAGGATTCTCTCTAAAATCATTTTAATCCGATGATAAGTACGGTTAACCTAGAGGATAGACATCCAGGCTATGGAGTTTAGATTTGAGTCCTGACTTCAAAATGCATGAGAAGTGTGATTTGGGGCACTTGAGTTTCTGGAGTCTTCATTTCTTCATCTGTAAAATGGGTGCAAAATGTCTGCTACCTCTAGGTCAACAGGTGGTGTGGAGGTTAACATGTTAGATCCCACATGGTCAACAGTATGGTTCAAGTTCTGGACCTGGAGGCTTGAAAATCATGCCGGGCACATGTGGTTTGTGCCTCAAATCCCAAGAAGAGACTGGAGGAGAAGGGACTGTGGCCATCCCCCCGAGGGGTGACTTCTCACTTTCCCTCTCACTCTGTCTCTAGCAATTGCACTCACGCTATAGCAAAACAACAACAAATTTGCTACCCCATGGAGTTCCTGCAACATTAAATGCGATTATGCCCAAGAGGGATCCAACACAGTGCCCTGGGTTTCAGTATGTGCCTAACCCATAATAATGACCATAATATCAAAATATGAGAGGGTCTTTAAAAAGTTCATGGAAATCTATATTAGGAAGCAACTGCATGGATTTCAAAAATCATTTGCACTTAAACAAACTGATATCTCCCCCGAGTTGTTCTTTTTTTCTTTTTTTTTCTTTTTTTTTTTTTTCACAGAGAGTGCATGCACTTCCCAGAGAAAAAGAAAGAAAGAAAAAGCATTCCCTAGTGGCATGTGGCCTTCATCCTTCATTTCTCCATCCTATCAGGATTTGGGGCATGCACGCTCATGTGGTTCAAATCAGCGTGTTTTTTTAAGTTGCTAGGGCTGGGATTCAAGTTGCAGTCAGCCACGTGGGTTCCAGCTCCTAACCACAGCCTCCTGCAGACTTTTTGAAGTCCTCTCCTTGGTAGCTAACATTGAATGGTATTGCCAATTTAATACAGTGAAGCATTAGGAAGTACCTTACCCATACACATATTAACTCATTAACAGTCAATGGGGAGGAAGTCATTGCTTTCATTATCATTACTATCATCATGTTTTAAAGATCCGTGAAGAAAGGTGACAGAGTTCTTTCCTCTCCAAGGACCTATTATTCTGTTGTAAAAGTCAATGAGGTGCGCCTAAGGTGATGTGAGTGGCTGGTGTTAACCCTGCAGAGAGGAGGGAAAGGTGGAGCCCAGAGAACAATGAGGGAAGGAACCGGCAGTAAGAGGAGCTGGCCTGCTACCCTGCACACGGAGGTCAATCCTTACTGTGCAACCACTGAGCACCGAAGTGCCTTCCTCAGGCCTAGAACACGGTAGGCCGACCCTCACAACAGCAGGAGTGGTGACTAGGACAGGGAGGGTGACAGAGAGAGGGCATCGAGTTTTCAGGGCAGTGGGGCGCTGTTTGCGGTTCACAAGGGCACGTGTCTCCCAAAGTGTAGGTGAGAAGGAGGGAGGGGGGGTGTGATTGGAGTCTGCAAAAAGCCACAGCAGGTGTGTGACCTAGCCAAATCAGCGACTGGATTTGAGCTGAACCAGGAAGGAAGTCGACAGTGTCGTGTTGTCAAAGTGCCCTGAAAACATTTTCATTCAGCCTGCAATTTTTCCAAGGACAAAGAACTGAGAATTATTATTTTCAAACACACTAAAGAAAATGGAGCACGAGACAATTTCAGAGACTACGAGGGTATTACCATTCATCATGAAAGAGAAAACCTGCTACATATTGGAGGTCCTGCTAGCTGCAGAATATCTACATGATTCCTAACACAGAGATTTGAGGCGTTGCAGTTTTCTATTATAAGAGGAGGCGACAGACCATTTGTAAAAAATAGTGCAATTCCCGTTACCAATTTGGGTTACCAGACCTCAAAAGTCCTTCCTAAATTGCTACACTCTATTGAAACTCCCAATTTGCTTTAATAACATATCAATTTCTAAATTGTTAACTATGTAGAAAGGTGCCTTCCCCGAGCATTTCTGAATGTGTTCCTGAAATACTCTGGGAAGAAACAGGAGAAATAAATAGAATCACATTTCTCTTTCTTTTTTTTTTTTTTTTTTTGAGAGATTTTTGCTATGGAGCACATCCGCTTGCTGAAGAGACAGAGAGAGAGACACAGAGACAGAAAGCGAGAAATCACCCCCCACAAGTGGTTGGCCATACTGCAATCCCTTCTCCTCCAATCTCCTCTTGGGATCTTGGGCACCCACATACACCCCATGTGAGTTTCAAACCACTGGATTTGGAACTTGAACCACAGTCGACCACATGGGAATCTGACACCTTAACCACTATACCACCTGCTGGCCCCAGAATTGTATTTCTTAGAAAGTGACTTTTATGCACCCCAAGTTCCCCATGTTTTGTTTTTTAGGGTTTTGTTTGTCTGTTTGTTTGTTTGTTTGCCTTTTTGCTCATTTGGCTCCCAGAGCTGTGCACAGGGCTTCCCAAGCTCAGAACTTCCCACTTTCCTCTTTTTTAAGTTCATTTTTTTATTATTATTATTTTTTTCCATGAGAGACAAGCAGCCCTAACAAGGGTGGATCCTCACACCAAGTTCCATCCCCAGTTCAGCTGACCCAGAGCACAGCTGCAGGCACCTTGCACACTCAGGGAGTTCTTGGGACACAAACCCAGGACCTTTCCCAAGTGGTCTACTAGCACTGTCCTACCATCTAGCCCCTGTAGTTCCCCCTCCCCAGCAGTTTCTCTATCCCCTTCCCTTGGTGGTCGCCTTTTTATCCTCTAGGTTCCAGAGTAAATATTACCCTTCAGAGGGGACTTCACTGACCACACTCCCTAAACCAGGTCCCTCCACCACTATCGTATCTATTTCGTGGGAGACATCAGCCTGTTTGATTTATTTGTCCTGTTGTGGGTGGGTTCTCCCTACTAGACTCTAAGTCTTCATGAGGGCAAAGCCCACACCTATCTAATTTCTCAGGAAAGTCTCAGCATCTAGCACAGTGCCCAGGACCTAGTAAAGGCTTAAGAAATATGGATTAATGAGGGGCCAGCAGGTGTGGGGGTTAAGGCACTGGACTCTCACATGGCCAACCCGTTAGTCCCAGACCTGGCGGCTTGAAGATCACATGCAAGTATGTGCTTGCATGCCCAAAATCCCAGAAGGAGAATGGAGTGGGAGGGAGTGCAGCATGGCCATCCTCTCTAGGGGATGATTTCGGATTTCTTCATTTCTTCTCACTGTCTTTGTCTCTCTCCAGCAAGTGCACATGCCCTTGACAAAAATCTAAAAAAAAAAAAAAAATTGTTAAATGAGAGGTGTGAAAGTTCAATATTTTGTTTTCATTTATGCCACGCTATGGGAAATGGGGATGCCTGGAGCATGCGCTCCTTTGCAGCTGTGTTAGGTCTATGTGGGAGACTCGTGCACCTTACTTCACTGAAGATGAGGGCCATTGACCGCAGGTTATTCAAGACCCAGAATATAAATGGCCAAATGTATTAACTCAGGGAAATACTGTTTGATTTATGACTCATCTCCATGGGGTGGTCAGGAATTGGGTTCTTCTATTTAAAAGAGAAATGAAAATCTCCTTCACCTTTGACTCTTAGTATCTATAAAAGCAATAATCTATAAAACATGGGAGTAAAAAAATCCTTCCTTATAAAACTTAAAGGATGGGACCAACAGATGGCATAATGGTTACGTCGCTGGACTCCCATGTAGCCAGCCACAGTTCAAGTTCCGGACTTGGCTTAAGACTCACGTGGGGTGCATGTGTGTGTGTGTGTGTGTGCCCAAAATCCCAAGAGGTGACTGGAGAAGAAGGAACTGCAGTGTGGCCATCTCCTCTGGAGGCTGATTTCCTGCTTTCGGTCTCTCTGTCTCTCCAGTGAGCACAAGCACCCTATAGCAAATAAATAATAAATAAATAAATAAATAATTTATTTAAAACAAACAAACAAAAAAACCTGTTAAGACACCAGCTCACGGCCTAGTGGTTAAGGCAGCCTGATACGTATTGCTGACCAGGTGGTTTGAATCCTAGCTCCTGCAGATTGAACAACACACTGGGCACAGGTACACCTCATGCTCCAAATCCTGACAGTGCAGTCATAGAGGAGGAGGGATTGCGGTGTGACCGTGCCCCATTGCGGCATTCCGTCTCTCTCTTACCCCTCTCTGTCTCTCTCTCTGTCTCTCTCTCTCTAGCGAGGGCATGTGCCCTCCAACAAATTAAAAAAAGAGAAAGTAGAGATCAAATTTCAGCCTCTTACTAATGACTTACTGTTTTCTAGCCACAGCAATAATGCTACAATGATACTTGGCGTTATCTTCATTTTACTAACGATTTACTAATGAGAGCCATAGACACAAAATAATTTTTCTTCCCAAGTCTTCAAATATAGCAGGTGGCAACAGGCAGGATCCAAAGTCAGGTTCATCCGATGCCCCAATCCCACATTTAAGCCTTGCTACAAATAGGTAGCATTACCTGAGGCTGCTCTGTGCTCAGTAACCAAGAATGGGTATCCTAGGAAAGAAGTGAAGAGAGCAGGGCTGGCCCCATGGCCTGGTGGATCAGGGAGCCAGATCCCACTTATGGCCCACCACATAGTTTGAATCCTGGATCCGGCAGCTTGAGTACGTGTGTACATGTACCCTCTTGTGATTTTTTTTTTATTAAGTGAAAAAAGAGAGCTGTCCAAATGGTGATGTTTCCTTGGAAAACATCATCAAACACATCTGAGACATCTCTAACATACCCTGAGCAAGGGCAGGCCTGACATTTCCAAGTAATTAAGTACATGAAGGTCAAGAAGAATGAGGGAGCCAGAGCAGGTGGGGCGGAGAAAGCCTCCCAGGAAGGAGATGTAGTTAGCTAGACTTCCACAAAACAATGAAGAAAGAAGAGTGTGCGTGTGGCTTTCTTGGTGGTCACTCCTGGCCCCTCCAGTGATATCCAGTCTCCAGCTGCACAGCTTGTGGGTCGTGGTCTGAAATAGAGCCCAGAAGGGTGGGAGAATGGCCAAGGTGTTACAGGCCTGAGGATACCCAGTGGTGACCTATGGGAGTCTGTTCCTGAGGAGCCAGGGTGGTGACCTATGGGAGTCTGTTCCTGAGGAGCCAGGGTGGTGACCTATGGG